TGTAAAGGGCTGGTTCTGAGAATCCAACTCCTTGTTTCCACCAGCTCTAAAATTAAATCTCCTCTTGCAAGTGCTTAGTAAACTGCTATTAAGGCAACTATACAAAAAAATGGGTCAGAATATCAGTTACCACTCGAGTAAAACACCCACTGACTTCCAGAGGGTTTAACCTACAGAAATACTGCTGGATGAGGCCCAGGGAGAGTTCCTTGCTTCTAAGGATAGAATTTGGCCCCACAACCCCCTCAACAGTCTGAAGGGAGCCACGTTTAAAACTGTGTTAAACTGCGGAGCAGGAGCAGCTCCCGTTAATTGGGTTTTAACAGAGCTTACGCTCAGTGTGAGCCAGCCTGAAAGTTATTAAAATATATTATTATATATAAAAATACTAAAAGAAAGCATTTTGATCCATTTTTTTCACTTAAATGATATAGATATACAGCATGTTTGTACATGATAGTCGTGTTTCTGTTTTATTATATTACATATTGCAGACATACGTGCATAGGCAATACATAAGAGTGTTTAAAAGTATTCCCCTAGCCCCCATTTATGGGAAACAGGAAAGGGAACACAAGAACCTCAGGGAGAGCACAAGGTAACACCTGAGTTTGACTGGTTTCGTGGTTTGACTGGTGTTTCAGACTGGTTTGAGTTGGAGGGACCTTAAGGACCATCCATTCCAACCCCCTGCCATGAGCAGCAACACCTTCCACTAGACCAGGTTGCTCCAAGCCCCATCCAGCCTGGCCTTGGACACTTCCAGAGATGGGAAGTGCCTCATAACAAGAGCAAAATGTTTTAATACCACTTGTTAGTTCAGTCTAGTGTACGGTAGCAGGTTAGTTGACAGGTTTAATATGGTTTTAATGACCTGCTTAATAACAAAAAGAAGGCTCAAAATTGCTAAAAATCAGCTCTCTTGCTTGTATTCACTGTTTACACTGCTGTCAGTTAAAGTTCTTAAATTTGAATATGAATCTGTTCTTCCAAGGCTCAGGAGCCAAACTGAGGATTCTAGATTAGGTGGAAGCTGCTGCTGCAGTGGGAGCTGCCGTTTTGTCGGCAGACTGCTGTATTTTTGAACTGTTCTGCTTGATTTATTTTTTTTAACTAATAGTAATAACAGTGAAAACCAGTAAGTGAAAAAACAAACAGAAAAGTTGTCTGTGCAGTACCCCAGGCAGGCTGTGAAAAAGCTGGCGAGAAGGGGGGAGTGTTTATAACTGTCTTTGCCTTTGCAAAACTCTTGGGGAAAAACAAACAAATAAAAACAGGAAAAAAAACAAACAAAAAACCAACACAACAAACAAAAACTAACATTCCCAGCAATCAGCATTGAGGGGAAGGAAAAAACTGGTCTGTCTTTAATTCTTCTTGATCAAAGGGATTTAAAGGGATGGAAAATCAGGCTGTGTGTCTTTTGAACCTTTCTTGCCCCAAGAACTGTGTGAGGAGGTGCAGAGGGGCAGGAAGGTACTGACAGTGGTCCCACTGCTCTTCCCCACATCCATCCTTCATCCCTGGGGCTGAGCCCCTCACTAACACTTAACATAAATGCTTGTTAGATATTGGATATAAGCACATTATCTTGTGGAAGGTGTCCCTGCCCGTGGCAGGGGGTTGGAGCTGGGTGGTCTTTAAGGTCCCTTCCAACCCAAATCAGTCTGTAATTCTGTGTTTATTAGTTAGAAGTGTATGATTTTAGTTCTTTGGACTAATTACCACCTTTAATTAAACTGCCAAAAGTTACAGTAAAGCTAGTGTTCAAGTAAACTTGATTTTTACTCTGTCATCCCTGTGGATTTCACATGTTTATATGGAGAATTAAGGTGTAGTGGACTGTTTATGTGGAGAATTAAGGTGTGAGGGATCTCTGAGCACCTGGGCACTATCAGAGGGTTCATGATAAGTCCTTTTGGGGCTTATAACTGGTCTGTAAATACTCTTCCCTGTGAGGGTGGAGAGGCCCTGGCACAGGTTGCCCAGAGAAGCTGTGGCTGCCCCATCCCTGGGAGTGTCCAAGGCCAGGTTGGACAGGGCTTGGAGCAACCTGGATAGTGGAAGGTGTCCCTGCTGATGGCAGGGGGTTGGAACTGGATGGGCTTTAAGGCCATTTACAACCCAAACCATTCTGTGCTTCAGTAAAACCCTCCCAACTGCTTTTGGAGGCCATGGACACACAGTTGGAGGTGGGAATAGGTTCTCAGTGCTGAGGAGACCTGGAAATCCAACGCAGTCACAGGTCTCTCTCTTCCCCATCCTTCAGGCCAGTGGGAATTGGAGGAGTGTGCATTTTCACATCAAATCTCACGAATTATTGATCACTGTGATGGTAAATAGCATCTAACAACTCTGTTTGCTCTCTGATGGCCGTAACACGTGTTCCTTGGTAAGGCTTGCTCACCTGGTCACCTGGAGGGGATATCTTTGGACTGCCATGTGCAGAGGAAGGAGAAAACCCTCTGATACTCACATTCCTATGATGTGGTTCAGTCCAGCCATGAATTTGCTGGCATCTGTCTCCAGGACAGTGGGGGCATCCTGGGCTCGTGGATGTACCAAGTGTTCTCATGTAATGAGAGAATCTGTGTGTGTTAATTTTTAAGTGCAGATTTTACAGCACTTTATAACGATATTTAACAGCATAAAACGTTGGCACATGGTGAAAACTGGTGAAAGTTCAGCCATCTCATTTGGGCAGGTTGTGCTCACAGGCTCTCACACTTGCAGACAGTTTAATAACAGTATTTGGCACTGTCTCTTCGAGCTGCTTAAACTAATTAATGCATTTGCTCCCTGCAGGATGAAATGGGGTTTTCAGATACATTTCCAAAATGATGTGCATGATTGCTAAATATTTCATTCTTTTGTTTAATAACAGTATTTGGCACTGTCTCTTCGAGCTGCTTAAACTAATTAATGCATTTGCTCCCTGCAGGATGAAATGGGGTTTTCAGATACATTTCCAAAATGATGTGCATGATTGCTAAATATTTCATTCTTTTGAACTCTAAACTTCACCAGTGTTTTATGGGGGAGCAGAGGTGGGATAAATTCTCCCATGAAAAATGTACAGTGGCTCTGGCAAGAGGAAAATCTGTGCCCCTGCGTGTCAGAGGAGGATAATCTCTGTCGCTCTGTCCGTGTGTTAGAAGGTACTCTGGAATTTGGGCACCACTTGGCACGTTGGTGCTGCTGCTGGGGGGGCTCTGTAGCTACCCCATCCTCCCGCACTCTGCTCCACTTCTCCTGATTCCAACAGATTCCAGAAAGTTTCAGGCCCATCACATTCCAACCTGCCAAAAACGAGGGCAAAAGGGGGGATTTTTTGGACTCGGTGTGTCATTTAAAAGATGACATCAGGCAGTAACTCCCCGAGACCCCTGAGCAGGGTTAACACTCATCTCACTGACTTAAAAAGGTTAAAAAAAATAAGAAGGACCATTTGATTTGAAAGAAACCTTTCTGAAGGAATCACAGTAAACAAAATCTGTTTGCCTAAGGAAACCCTCGTAGCAATCAGCCAGTAACACAACTGCTTGTGCTAATGAACCCAAAGCTGTTAATGTGGTTTCTTCAGTTAAATTGATTCATGAATTTTGAAGAGAACATTATCTAATGAATTTTCTTTGAATAGAAAGCAATTAAAAGGACAAATCAGTCTGATTAACCCCAAAGTCACCCTACTGCCACAAATGGTGTACAGTTTGAAATTATATCATAAAAAACTAGAGCAGATTTGCTATCTCTTTGCCCTCTACTAATCCATGTAAATTAATGAACAACAAAGTTAATTTCTTTGATGACCCTTTTCTCATATCACCTGGATTATGCTGATGTTTAATTTGCTTAATGTTATAATAAAGACTAAACAGATTTTTTCAATGAAGTGATTATCATTCCCTTCAGTTAAGAAGTGATTTTTATTATTTAACACACACATAACACCGTATGGGTTTCCTTTAAGAACAAAGTCACATTTCTCTACCTTCCTATGTAACGTCATCAATGTGTTTTTTGACAACTAAAAAAAGAAAATGTCTTTAATGAGTTTGTTTCTTTGCCAGAGCAGGAGGCTGAGACTCTCAGCTGGGGGAAAAGGTCTCCTCACCTTTTTTTCCTCTTTTTTCCTTCTTTTCTAGTGACCAGCTCGCTCCTTTCATAAGTTACTCACTAGTTAGGTCTTCAAAGCTTTTCCAAGAACAAGAGCTATTCAGCCCAACTAAAATCCAAACATGGCTATCCCTTTCCCTTCTATAAAATAATCCTGGCTTGGGTAAAACCCTGAGATGCCGAAGAAAGCAGCTCCTAATGCATTTGCTTATTCATTATTCCAGCAATTGGAACACTTAGAAGCAATTTGCTGGTGAATTAAAATTAAAATAATGGCAGATACATTATATATTTTTTTCCCCTGTATCATTAAGGATGTGCTGTAGATTCAAGGTCACAGCTAGTCCTTACATTTGGCAATGTCTGCAGTGCTGAGCTGTAGCTTGGGGGTCTGGACTATAAAATGCAGTCAGCCAGGATAATACAGAGTCCACTGGCTCTAGGGCGTCTTCCTGGGCGACTCCAGTCCCAGCTGAAGTTTGAAATTAGCTGGAGATGCGAGGCTTTTGTTGAATAGGTAGAGCCAGCTATTTCTTCTCTTTTAATTTGACTCTATGCTAATTTATACTCTGCCAATTTAATGGGAAAAACCACATTGTATGAGTTAACAGGATAATTGTACTTGAAGCAAATTAAAAATATAGGAAAATCAAAGCCTTAAATCCTTTTTTTATAGTGATCGGTTACTCTGAGCGCTCTCTCTAATAATCATGTATTTAAATGTAGTCATATAGGACACAATAACAGGACAGAGCATCGGGGCTGTTTAAATTTAAATTAGAAAACTGCTATTGAGACTCACATTTCGTTGGGGTTTTCAGCTGTTTCACCCTAATTTTTCCAGCCGTGCAATCAAACAGCTCCTGCTCCCTTGGTCTTTCCAGATTCCTTCACCAGACAAGTGCTGTGGACCCTGTTGAATGATGTGAAGTTTGGAGAGGCTGTTTCCTACAAAGAGTTGGCAGATCTGGCCGGGAACAGCCGAGCAGCCAGAGCAGTGGGGACAGCCATGAGGAGAAACCCGGTGAGTTCACATCAACTTCCAGCTAAAGTTGTTGGAATATGGTGGATTTAGAGCGCTAAGTGTCATTAGATTAAATTTATCTGCTATGAAAACTGGTCCACGATGAGTAATAAGGTCAGTAAGTGTTTTTAATCAGCGATAATGCACAACCCAGTTTAGTGTGATTTATTCCCCACCATTTATGGTGTTAGGTTGGAAAGAGAAACACTTCTTTCATTCACCAGCCTCTACACAGGTTGTTGTTCTCAAACTTTCTTATATATTTTTAGGTCAGGGAAGTCTTTTATCCCCCACATGGACCTCATTTGGCAGGTTATGAGCAGTTTTGGTTGTGTTAACAGCAGTCCGTCAGCTCTGGCATGAACGTGGTTCTGAAAACAAGGCCAGGTTGGATGGGGCTTGGAGCAACCTGGTCTAGTGGAAAGTGTCCCTGTCCATGTCAGGGAGTGGAATGAGATGATTTTTAAGGTTCCTTCCAACCCAAATCTGGGATTCCATAGGTGATTTGCCTGAATTTGAACCAGCTGGAGGAAGTAGCACTCTAGGTCAGGCCTGTGGATTTTGGAAAAACATTTTGTTAAAACCTTTGGTCTCTGTCTGCTTCCCAGTAATTGTCTTTCCCTTTTATTTTTCCGAGCTTAGCTTTTCAGGTGTGTTTGTGCACCTCGGTCACACTGGTCGGTGTCAGTGAAGTTGACGTGTTGTGTCAGTGTCTTTGGGTGTGTCTGGGTTCAGATTAGCCCCATCCTGAACTGGAGGCTCTGGGGGCTCAGGTGGATGTACCTGCAGTTCACAAGGAACAGTTCAATTATCTGAACCCACAGCAGTTCAGAGAATCACAGAATCCCAGAACAGTCTGGATTGGAACAGACCTTAAAGCCCATCTCATTCCAACCCCTGCCATGGTCAGGGACACCTTCCACTGGAAGTGGTTTAATGAGTTATTTATCATGCTTATCATTTAGTCCTTTAATCACAGGAAACATCTCAAGGTACTGATGTATTAAGGTTTGCTATTTTGCATAAATTGTGCAGCAGTCATTCATAAAATCATTCACTTTTACCTAATATTTGGGGTACAGTTCACTCGTGGCAGCTCGTGTCACTCGGCACCAGCACTGCAGCCCAGGTGGCATGTTCAGTTTAATGAACTGTTTTGTTGAACTCAGAGCCCAATATCTCATCTGATAAACACACTGCAAGTGTTTGTCCATGGGCCGGGTCTGTGGGTATCCTACAGGTCCACACAGGTAACACACAGCCATGGAAACTCAAACAACACTTCGTGGCTTTAAGCTCCCAAGCTCCATAAAGAAGCCCACCCTGGTATTTTAGGCATCCACCAGATTTCCCTATGAACCAGTTCATATAAGCAACATAAAGCTGCGTTTCGTCAATACACAGTATTGTACTTGACAATACAAACTATTTTAATATGATGGAATGCTTTCCAATATAATCTGGTGTACATTAAGATAAGGCAATCCAATGCAAACCTACAGGAAACAGTTCTCAAAGAATAACAATCCAGTGTTGTGCAAAAGGAGATGTAATTGCTGTCGCCTAGAAATGTACCCAGCTTTGCCCTCAGGCTGCAGTGGAGCAGCAGCATCCAAAGTAGCAGTAACAGCAGGTTGTGGTGTGAAAATTCCTGCTTTTTCCCCTGTGAGGAAGGATGAAAATAGTTCTGAAAATATACAGCAAAGCTACTGCAATTTTTTTAAATGGGGTCCTGGTTATTATTGCCATTTCCCAGCCCATACTATGGCTGCAGTGATTTCTGTCCCCAGCAGAAGATTTTTAAACATGGTATAGATAATAATGTATAGCTTTAGGGGAAAAGAGCTGTGTTAATATAATGACACCCCAATATTTCATCATAGAAGGCTGGTGATTAAAAAATAATAATAAATCAGTGCTGTAATGAGAGCTCTGCCCATCACAAAACACATTTTTATCACTACACATCTCCTGGAGTTAATCTGAAATTCCATCCATATTCCATGTGCAAACACACACATGGTCCTTTTGCACTGCAGTGTGAGCATCTATTCATTGTTCCTCATATTTCCCAAGGAAATCTTTCCATGGTCCTTCACCTCTGAGCCATAATGTGCAGGTTGACTGTGTAATACACAGGTTGATTTTATGAAGGAGGTGACATGTAAAAATAATATGTGGCACTGCAGAACCCCCTCACCTTCGTTATTTCTGTATATAAAGCCATCAACTCGTGTGAAAACAGATTTCTAACCCAATTCGCAACTCCACTCCATACAAACCTTATTAAAGAAAATGCTGAGAGGATGCATATAAAACCAACACGGGAGGTCGAAGGTGTGTGAGCAGCCCGTGCTCCTCTACAACCACCTGAGGTCTAAACCTGCAGCCCGAACCCCAGACCCTCCCTGGAAGTGTCCAAGGCAAGATTGGATGGAGCTTGGAGCAATCTAGTGCTAGTGGTAGATTGATTCTGTGATAAACCTGATTTGACAAGGATGGTAGTAACAGCAAAAATAACCTCGAGCTGGCATCGTGTTGTCCCTCAGACGTTTTGATAAAATCACAAATCTCAGTTTCTCCACCAAATACCTTTCTCTCTTCTACAAATCCAAGAGTTGGTCTTTGTTTTTGGTAGTGTGCATCCCGCATGGTTTCCTGTGGTAGTTGGGTTGGTTCACACAGTTCATGTGATGACCTTCAGCTTCATGAGAAGGTGGAACAGGTGCCAGTAGCAGCTGAGGGTGGTGAAGTCTTCGCCTCGGTTTATGCCAGGGACGTGGTGGGTAGGGCTCACCTTTTTCAAGAGAAACTTCACAGAGTTTACTGCAGTTCACATTGATTGCAAGGTCTGTGGTCCTCAAAGGGAACCCATAAAGTTCAATTAAATATCTCATTAGACTGGTAGAGGAGGATCAAAAAGAAATCACAGAGGCTCATGGGAAATGGGGAATGTTGGGCTGATTAGTCCAAGGCCATCCTAAATGACTGTTCTGTGCCTTAAATAAGACGTCTTCAGCGGTCTGTTAACAGCAGGCAGAGCTGCCTACGTTGGGTTTGTATCCTCTCTAATTGTGTCATTGCTTAGGCTCAACCCTAGCTAAGGGCACAACCTGATGCTGCTATCGATCTATCCTAAATCAAGGATATAATATCAATCTGTCCTAAGTCAAGGATGTTATCCAGCCAAAATGTTTTGAACACCAGAGATTGGTAGGAGCATCTATGAGAAGATTATGAAGTTTGGGTCTGACATGTTGCAGACACATAGAACTAGTTGTATGGTCATTCATAGAATCACAGAATATCCTGAGTTGGAGGAACCCACAAGGACCATCCAGTCCAACCCCTGTTCCTGTACAGGACACCCCAGCAATCCCACCCTGTCCCTGAGAGCGCTGTCCAAACACTCCTTGAGCTCTGACAGCCTTGGGGCTGTGACCAACTGCCCTGGGGAGCCTGTTCAGTGCCCGACCACCCTCTGGGGGAAGAACCTTTCCCTAATATCTTTCATTCCTGATATCTTTCATTCCTAGTATCTTTGGTTCCTTTGGTGGCTGGTGATAACCTGGGACCCATGTTGGGACACGTCACAGGATTTTCTTTTGGGAAAGAGCAGGAAAAAAAGCAGGGGGTTGGAACTAGATGGTCTTTAAGGTCCCTTCCAATACAAACCAGTCTGGGATTCCATGACTTGAGCAAACCACGGGATTCTTTTTTGCTGAGTGTGGCTCTTGCTGTTGGTGTGACAACATGGTGTGACTCTGGGGGATGGTCCTGTGCAGGGCTGAAAGTTGGACTCCATGATCCTTGTGGGTCCCTTCCAACACAGCATATTCTGTGATTCTGTGATATCCCATCTGTTTCCATTGTGGCCTAGCTGATCCAGGTTTGACAAGCTGGGAAGTTTCAGGAGGTCTCCATCCCATCAGCCATGTGATAGGATGGTTCCCTTGCCTCAAATTGAGCACTCATAACTACTAGAGCCCTGCTCTGCTTCGTCCTCACACAGAATTTGCTAAATGCAGTTCAGAGCCAATCGATTCCATGTGCAGGGAGAGTTTTTTTCCCTGCCTTTTTCCTAAACAAACGCATTATCCAGGAGTTAGTTTATTCACAGATTGCCACGAGCGTTAATGACCGCCCCAGCCTTGTTCTGCCACTCACCCAGATGGCTGTTGATAAAGATTTAGCATCATGTTCCAAGTGTCAGGGCTGTCAGTAGTGCTGAACCATTTGACCAGAAGAAAAAACGCACAGGGAGCTATTGATTACAGCTTCTCAGTGTCACTTGTTCACCAGGATTTAGGTATTGATGAGGCTGCGAGTGAAAACAAGCTCTTTCCCTTGTGGGCCTCTACCCAGAAGAACAAAAGCAAAGTTGGAGAAAATATTCAGCTGGTGCCCGAATCAGAGGGACTCCAGCATCGATCCGAGGGCTCCTTCATGTTAGTTTTTGTTGGAGACAAATCTATGGGTTTGGAAGTTTTATAGCGTTCGAGGGAGGGTCTGTGTGCGTGATGGATTCGTGGATTAGATGAATTAGATTTCACAGCATGGAGATTTTAGCAGAGCTCTAATATTATGAGCTGCTTGGTTATTGATAAAAATTACATTAAATGTAGCTGAGGCATTAAAGCTCCAGACTAGGGTAGTTCTCCCTCTAAAATGTCCTTAGGGCCCTAATAAATTTTGGCAGGTTTAATTATTTTAGTGGTCTGAACGTTGTCACCACAATTAAGCCAAACTGAAGCAATATTCAATATTTTTAAATTACAGCCTTTGTACCACTTTTACATCCAAAGCTCTGGAGGGTGACAGATGGGTGATTGTGTGTGTTGGGACAATCTAGTGTGGAATTCCTTATGTTGGGCATGGAAAAAGCTGCATTTATTTCATACCTCCTCTCCTTGCTTGGTGGTGAGTGGCTCAGCCCCATATCCCTGTGTAGTGAATGAGTCCTGCACCCACCCAGGAATCATCCAATACCCCACCTGGCTCACACCACCTGAAAATAAAGTCCTTTTTCTTCTCCACCAAGATTTATAGCCTTACCATCAAAATCTGCTGCTTTAGTGTGTGTATTTTTAAAGAATTGCAAATTAACCTTGGAGATGTTTTACAGTGTGTTATTATGGCTTCGTCACCCAAGCCAAGCTGGCTGAAGTAACTGAGGGGAGTGTAAAGACAGAGAAATCCCAAACTAGAAAAAAAACTTGCACAATAAATCCTAATTTCTTTAAAGAAGCCATAAACCAAGTGTGGGATGGCATGGCATGGAGTAAAGCTTTTATTGGTAATTGCTGGAGTTATCATGGATGCATAATTCACTTGTGGCATTGCACCTCCAAATAAAGCAGATATTAGAAGCATTTCTCTATTTAAACCTTGATTAACAATAAGCACCTGTGTGTATTCCCATTTAATGTGGGCTGAGACTGAGATTTTAAATTTCAGGCGTTGAAATTACTTAGCAAAACTGAAAGAACACCCCAAAAAAAAACCCCAATTTATGGTATGTATAGTTTTTCAGCTGCCGGGGTTTGTGTGCCCCAGCTTGAACTGTGTTGAAATAATGATTAAATGGGATTAAAATAAGTCAGTGTAAAGTGTGTAATTTGTGTGAAATAAATTACACTTTTTTGACATAAAATATCCAAATTTTTGAAAACTGCCCTTTTGAGTGAGTTATTGTTGTCACAGCCACATCGTTGCAATCCCATTGCTATGCAGTTACCAAAACACACCCGGCATGATTAGAGATGATGTATTGCATTTTTTATGGTGTGTACTTCAGCTATGATAATCACCTGTAATAAAAAATAAAAAAAAAAAAAAAAGCATGTTTATGTACTTCTCTGCATTATCAGTCCATTATGTAACTTCTGGCATTGATTTGCAGAATCTGTGACATTTGGCTATAAATGATACAGAGTAGAAGACAGGAGGGGAAAAAAAAGTTCTTGAAATTGGTTACGTTGGAATGAAATCTCTCCTGTTGGAGGTTTTAAAAATTCACAACCCATTTTGGATTGACTTGCTGTTAAATAATAAATAGTGCCTTGGTCTCGCAGAGAATTTCTCCATGGTGCACGTGGAGGTGCTTCAGCGAGAGGAGGATCTGCCGGGGAAGTGGAGCACAGGGACCACTTCTCAGTGGTCTGTTTCTTCCCAGAAATATGTCCTCTCCTAATGCTGGGATGATCATAGAATTTCAGGCTGGTTTGGGTTGGAAGAGACCTTGAGGCTCATCCAGTTCCACCCCCTGGGCAGGGACACCTTCCACTGTCCCAGGTTGCTCCAAGCCCCATCCAACCTGGCCTTGGACACTTCCAGCAATGAGGCAGCCACAGCTTCTCTGGGCAACCTGTGCCAGGGCCTCCCCACCTCATAGGGTAGAATTTCTTCTCGATATCCAATCTAAATCAACCCTCCTTCAGCTTAAGGCCGTGGTGATGGTGATGAACAGTTTGTCCTATATCTGCTTGTTCTCCCCGTGTACATCTCAGGGATATGAGGCTTCGTCCCCCCCCCGAGCCCTGAGGGCTTGGCTGTGGAGGGGGCTGGCATGGGGCAAGAGAACCTGATGCTGCAGGGAATTTTTTATATATGGGATTTAATATCTCAGGTTTACCCTTTTAAAGACTTTACATCATTTTTATGGATTAACATTCCTGTCCATGCTTATTTTTGCCTAAGAACTGGGGAGGTCTCCGGAGGCAGTGATCAGCTGTTTGTGCTCCCCTGGGAGCACGGCCCCAAGGTTGTGGCTGCTCTGTCCCCCTTGGGCATGGCCAGGACCCCACCAGTTTGTCACTCAGTGCTACACAGCTCCTGACTCAGTGCTGGATTTATAGACTCATGGAACCACAGGATCATTCCATTTGGAAAAGACCTCCAAGGTCATCGAGTCCAACCTGTGGCCGATCCCCACCAGGGCACTGAGTGCCTTGTCCCGGTGTTGTGGGTACCTTCCCCTTTACTCCTCCCCTGATTTCTTTGTGTTTTGCAGCTCGCCCTCATAATCCCGTGCCACAGGGTGATCCGCAGCGGCGGGAAGATCGGCAACTATGGAGGGGGACACCTCATGAAGGAGTGGCTTTTGTCACACGAGAAGCTCCAGAAGGAGAAGTTGGCATATTGATGCGGCTCCAGCTGCTAACCAGCCAAGACACACAACCACGGATCCTTGGCTTATAACAAGCTCTCAGAGCACCCAGCAGAATTCAGAAAAATGGTAAATATTTGAGTGACATATAAATATAATGCAACATCCAAAGTGAAATGTGTGGTGGCACCACTATATTAAAAAAGCGGGCTGCGTCCTGGGGGAGGCAGCTCGGCTGCCCTTTCTTGTTTTTACATTTTACAGCAGAATGACTACAGCGATCCAGGCCTGTTGTGCACGGATTTTGTTCCCATCTCCAGTCCTGTTTTGTTCTATTTTTAATGTCCATTAAAGCAGGGATAAGGGAGTGGGAGGGACGTGGCAAATGTGAGGTTCAGGCTTCCCCCTAAGGAAGCGTCTGCCTTGTGGAGGGCCCTGCCAGCTCCTGCCCAGCTCCCCCTCCCCACTTTGGGGCATAAAATGGTGTTTTACCTAAACAGGAGTTAACAGAGCACAGTGAGGTCTATTCAAAAGCAGGCAGCTATTGAATTCCTTGTTCTTGGCTTTTCTTTTCAAATTGGGAGATGGGAACAATTTTTTTTTTTTTTGCATAAAGCAGCAGAAGAGATGCTACTGAAAAAACGTATATTTTGGATAAGCAGCTCGATTAGTCCAATAAGGCAAAATATTAAAAAGCTCATCATAGTTGCATCATTAACAGCAGCACATTCCTTTAGAGTTTGATGTTTTCCCTTCTGCATTTCTCTGTTATCCGAAGCTTTATTTCCTGCCTCTCCATAGGAAGGATTCAAGAGACATTAAAGCTAAATTTTGAGGTGGTTTTAGCAGGGTTCTCTGTGAGTAGAAGCCACCAGAAGCTGAAATTTCCAGTATGGGAGTCGTAAATTGTAACATGGAAATACTGATTTTTTTATGTGTTTTATCATATTTTCATGGATGTCTCTTTAGAAAGGCCATTGCTACCCCCAAAAAATTATTGTGTCGTGATGTGTTAGTTAATCCAGGATTATTGATACCTTGGAATTACTTCAATAAAAAAACTGCTTTGCATGTGCAAGTGTCTTTGGGTCTGTTTATAAATAAAACACAGGGTGTGATATATGGGGAAAATAAACTATACCCCACTGTACAATATAAAGCTGTATTTTTATCAAGGGTTTCTCGTGGCGATATAAACCACGGAAGCAAAGCTCAAGTGGTTTGTACGTGTCACCAGAACCCCGAGATAAAAATATGGCCTTATAATATGTACAGTTTGGGTGTATTTTATTATTTTTTTATATCTCTAATACATGCTACCACCAAAAGCAGGCGGCAGCAAATGTCAACTTTAACCTCTCCCACATTTGCATCCCTTGATTTTTTTTTCAGGTATTGGTGCTTTTTCAAGGATGTGACTTTGTTTTTTTGGGGATGGGGGCAGTGAGCACTGGGTTTGGGGCAGTTAACACCTTTTCCCAGGGAAACACCCAACTTTGGGAGTAAAATCATGTTCTGGGTCAGAGATTTGGGGGGTGGAGGTAGCAGGGCGGAGCAGGGACAGGCAGGGATGGAAAGGGCAGGGACAGGCAGGGCTGGGGCGGGTGGGGATGGACACGGCAGGGCTGGAGGGCAGGGACAGGCAGAGATGGACAGACAGGGATGGACAGTAACAGGCAGGGATGGACAGGGCAAGGACAGGGACAGGCAGGAATAGACAGGGATAGGGGTAGGTACAGGCTCAGTGAAGGGTTGGACAGGGATGAGCAGGAATGGATATGGATGGACACGACAGGGACTAGCAAGGATGGGCAGGGAGGGACAGGGACAGTCAGGGATAGAAAGAGATAGGGACAGTCAGGGATGGACAGGGACAGTCAGGAATGAACAGGGACCGTCTGGGATGGACGGTGCTGTTCCCGCGCTGACCGACAGAGGGCCCTCCGGCGCAGGGCTGGGGGCGCGGCGGCTCCCGGGTCCCCCCCCCCGGGTTTCGGGGGTTCGGGGGGGGCTGGAGGGGGCTGTGACCCCTCTGCATCCAGCTGGGATGGGTTTAGAACAGGCATAATCATTAACAACCTAATATATACACATATATATATATAAACACAGGTATACATAAACACATATATACATATATATACACACACAGACAGGTATGTGTGTGTGTGTGTGTGTATAAATATGTATGTGTATGTGTATGTGTATGTCTGTATATATACACACATATATATAAAATTAAAATAAAATAAAATAATTAAATAAAATAATGCCAAGGAAGTGCAGGGGTTGAGATTTGAGTTGGGTTTGGGTTTGGGCCACTCTCCACCCTTGTGGATGCCCAGGGGTCCCCATCCTCAGCCCCCTGGAGGGGGGGTCAGGGCAGTGTGTGGACACACAGAGCTGAGGAAAACACCTCAGCACCCCCCAGTGCCTCTCTATAGGTGACAAACCAACTCCCTCCCTGCTGGCAGGAGCCGGTGCTGTGCTTTTTCCTGGGAATTGGGTTCCCCTGCCCTATGGAGTCCCCTGGCCTGCAGCATCCTGGACCAACACACGCTACTCCAGCCCAGAGCCTGGGATAATGAAAGATTCAAAAATAATATTTGTTTTGGCAGAACTACATTTATAATGAAATAGGTGCCCTTGACCAGGGAAGAAACTGAATTTTGCAGCGGGTCATTTTGCCCCCCTCCCCCTTTTTTTCCCATACAAACAGGCTCTGCAGCCACTCTAAGGCAAATAGGAATATTTTTGAAGGACTCTGTTGTATTTCCTGCATCGGATTTGCAGCAGAATTGCAGCCACACTGGTTGTACTGTTTGACGCCGGGATGAAAAATGCAGATTCCATCCCATGTATCAATCCCAAATGGAAAAGGGCCCCAGGCTCCAGGATTGTTACAGATCACTTCCATGCACGCCGAGTTTGCGGCGTAATGAGCTCAGACTGGAAGCATCTTAAACAGAAAACCGATTCATTGGAGTGCTGGGGACATTTTTAGATACGTGCCCGAATTTCCTTCTCTTTAGAATTAGGGGAATTACTCATCTGATTGGGGCAAGAAAAAGCTGCTCCTTAAATTTCCGTTTAATTTTTCTAAGCAGTTCTCAGGCATCAGAAACTTTTTTGATCTGTCAAGTGGAACTTGATATTTGCTGTATCAGTTCCAAATTATATTAAGTTATAGACAAGGAATGATAATTTTAAACTATTGTTTCTGTTAACATCACAGTATTATTAACATTAATATTATCATTGCTGTCAATATTATGATGATCTCTAAGGTCCCTTCCAACCCTAACCATTCTATGATTCTGTGATTATTATCTCTTCTACAAAAATCACAGATTGTTAATTTTAATCATTTTCCCCCCCATTTTAAATTTATATTATCTATGGTGTGTGTTGCATCCAGCAGATGCAACAGAAAATTGCATCAGAGAATTGGTATTAAAATGGTTATTTATTGGGAAAGGTGATGGTGCAGACCTGCTTCCTTAAAGAAAATGCAATAGAAGAGTAAACCTATAGAAAATTCCTGAAAAACTTAAAGCATAGCATTCCAGGGGGAATCCTGTAAGATTTATGGACTATTTCAAGAATAATTTCCCACCAAGAATCCTACAAGAATGTAAAAATCCTCAAAGAATTGCGTTTACAGATTTAATTGTAATTGCTTTTATATTCTTAGAGAAATTGAAGAGAAATGTGGTTCAAAGGCTTGTGTGTGAAGGGGCTGTGCCCTCCACTCCCAGCAACTGCGCCGGCTCTAAAAACAATGGAAAATATTCCTGACAGCCCCTCACTGGCCATTAGAGAGGAGATTTCGGCTACGCTGATGTGCAAACGCAGCTTGTCAAAGACCTGGCTGCTATTTGGGTTTCAAATAACATGTGGAGGGTGTGAGTAACAAACACACACATGTAGTTTGTGCCTTGGAAAAGGAACATTCCACCTATTTTTCAAATTTTTTTCCCCTTTTTTCCTCATTTTTATAATTTTGCTTCTTTTCTTCCTTTGTTTTGTTTTTTTCTCCTTTTTTTCTTTTTTCTTTCTCTTTTCTTTTTTTCCTCCCTTTTGTTTTTCCCCACTCTTTTTCTTTTTTTTTTTTCCCTGCAGGTCTGTCCTAACAAAACCTTTAATCCCTCCCTATCCTCAAGCCTGAATTTCCAGGTGATTGTCTTTCCCTGTCGCTATTTTTGTCATACATTCTTTTTTTCCACTCATCAAACCCCCTTTTCTTCCCCAAATTGTTACTCCAGGGGGAACAAGGACGAGCACCTTGACCCCACCACTGCAGACTGGAGGGTGAGGGGGAGAGGCCACCTCGGTTTTGCTCCTTCCCGACCCGCGGCAAGGCAGGATGGAGAGCGAGTGCTCCCCCCGAGCCTGATCCACACCAGCCCCCGTCCCGTGTGAGGGAACGTGGGAGTGGCAGCCAAAAGTGGGGCTGGGGGCCAGGGAAGGCCCCCAGCCTGCCCGGAGCCGGGGGTCTGGGCTCCATCAGCCGCGTCCGGCGGGACGAGACGCGGTAGCTGCTCCAGGAGGTGAAAATTGACGTGAGCATGGGATGTTGGCAGCACCTCAGGCTGATGAAAGGACATTGTTAACAAGCCCTTAACGTTTCTCATTAATGGCTGGGTTGGGTGGGTGAGTTTTTTTCGCTGAAAAAAGCCAGAAGACAAAAAAAAAAAAATCCACCTGGGCAGTAATTGAGATCGATCCCTTACAGTGCGTGGAGTTATCAATTTTTAAAACCTCTTTAAGTGCCTTATTTAGTTATTTTAAACAGGGCTTTTTATTTGTTGCTGCAAGTGTTCCTGGAGGATATATTCATGAGGGCTGTGAGGAGCATGGGGGACTCCTCCTGGGCTCTTCTTCTTAGTCAGTCATCATCCAACCTGCAGAAAAGCGGGTGCTGGTCCATTCCCTCCCTACTGTCCATGGCTGCTGTGGGTACCAGGGTAGCACATGGAGCCCATCCGGTGCTGGGTGTATTATTTGAGGTGGAATTGCTCTTATTTTGCTGAAATTATTACTGCAAACTGCAGCAGTGGAGTTAAAAGAGGAGCTCTTGCTCTCTAAGTTGGCGTGGGCTCGAGCGAGGAAGGTGAGGGTCAAGCCCAGAGCGAGGGATTCTGCCTAGTCCCAGGATGGGGCTCAGCCTAAGTTAGGCACCAACCGAGGTCAGACAGGCTGAAGGAGGCAGTGTTTAATTAAAATAACCCTCAGTATGACCCCAAGTGCAGAACTGCTGAGAAAAACAGCTGCAACCCTTTTATCTGAGGACGAGCAACCGTGCGATGATGTAATTTTCATTTCCGATGAGCACCGAGATGACCTAATTCCACATGGAATCTTGTCTCTCCGTTCAAAGTAGGACATTTGAGTTGATCTGGAATTTGGCTCTGAGCTTGCCCGTGTGGCTCCACTGAGCCCTCCCAGCCCCTCTCAGATCCAAGGCTGGAGCATGAGGGCAGGACATCGGGAAAGGGAATCCCAAGCAGATTTTGATCCAAACTTGCCTTAAATCTTCAAAACTCTGGCAAGCAGAAGGAAAACCCTTTGTATTTCCATTGGTGCATACTGGAATGTTTTGGAAAATTGCTGTTGATTGCTGAGAGCAGCTGTGGCTTCCCCATCCCTGCAAGTTTCCAAGGCCAGGTTGGACAGAGCTTGGAGCAACCTGGGCTAGTGGAAGGTGTCCCTGCCCATGGCAGGGTGTGGAATAAGATGATCTGTAAGGTCCCTCCCAACCCAAGCCATGATTTTATAATTGTACAACTTTGTTCTCATGGCTGACCCACGATTTTTAAAAGTATGAGCCTCAAACATGGTCCTTATTTCTGCTTTTATGATTCAAACACATTTTATGTGCTTTTGAAACTACCATCAGCATGGTAAATGCAGATTGAATTTTAGGGCAGTGGACACACTTTCAGTGGTTAAATGACAAAATAACTGGTGCAAGGAATGATTTCTTCATACTGCCCAGCAAAAAATCTCTTTCCTGTCTGAACAAAACACTCACAAGCAAAATCTGACCACAAAACCATTTTAATTTTTAGTTAT